ATTACTTAGTATTGAAAAATCTGGAAAAATCGTCGGAACAAAAATGGGAAGGGTGACGATTTGCGGGATTATTTGAAAAAATATGAACGTTTTCCACTTCCTGCAAAAAGTATTATCGTTACCCTGCTTTCATTAAGGAGCCTGATCGGGCAGAAGAAAATTCCCCTGTAAAAAAGTTCCCCTGAGCGGCCCAACAGAGCAGCTTCAGATGAAAATCGGATTCACATGTCTAAACAAAAATTCAACTGCAGCTTGCAGTAGCTGGTTGCAACAACGCACATTAACCCGATTTCCATCGAGATCATTTCCTCAAGTGGAAAAACGTGATTTTAGCAGCAGCAGAATAACATTACCTCTGAAAGAGATAATTCAGGAATCTGTTGCTGTTATTGTATATGCTGTAAATTTCAATCAGTGAAAAAAATGCTGTATACCGTAACTTCGCAAATAAGCATGCATTGAAATAAGATGAAGTCGACTCTATCCACTCCCTGCAATGAAATGCTTTTTAGTCGAATCAAACACTCCTGGCAACCAAAAAAACCCATAGAACTTCTTACATACGTTTTGTATGGATTATGTTCGAAATAACACATTTTAGCGAAACTGTACCTTTGTCTAGGAGGTGTGTGTGTGTCGATCTCTGTAATCAAATAGTTTCAACTTCAAGTCCATCAAAAAAATTAGAATGCAGGGCGTTTTTATAACCCGCATCTTTGTGCGAGGACGCACATCTAACTTCAGATCGCAATCTAACTCCAATTGGCGCACAAAGATATCAATGTTACCCATCTACAGTACTTACAATAGCGGTGCGTTAATGTATCGGCATAAAGAGTGTTGATGGCATCAGAACGGAAAAGTCGACATCAAACGCTGCCTCCGAAACTGCGTTATCCTCTACAAATTTCTTTGTCTTGGTAGTCCCGAAAATCATACCCTGGTTTCGTCATTGTTCTCCTAGTTTCCTTTTCTAGACGAAGCCGTAAACTTCATCATCTCTGAACTTGCACTTTTTTAACATATTACTCTGCGACCTCAATTACAAATCTAGAGTTAATTTTTTAGTGCAAAAACAAACGAAATAGACAACAATTTAAAATTCTGCAGGTACAATTAGATCTGAGGATAATTAGCAGCTCTGTGATTTTCGTTCATTTATCCCCTCCACATGTCCATCCTCCGTTTGCACTCTGACCGGCAATATGGGGGCGCAACAGTTATTCCCTTAAGAAACAAAACTTTATGTTTCAGCTCTGTTGCCCACCTCTTGATCGAGTCACGAAATCTGGATAAAATCAAATTTAACGGTACCACTTGTTCAGCAGTTCCACATACTCACAGACGCTCATTTT